TTTAACTTGAACACCACGATAGCCCTCAAGGGCATGATGCATAACCCAGTCGATCACGAAGTTGAATAGCACTGAGGAAAGTTGGCAACCCTACCTGCCTCCAGTATTAATGTCGAATTTCCTTGTTTCTCCTCCATAGACCCGAATCCGATTCTTCGTGAAACGGTAGTATGATCACATCAAGTTAACGAGTTTAACCGGTGCGCTATCGGCAAGTAGGATTCTTCAGAATGCTTCAAAGTCAACTGAGTCAAAGGCAGCTCTAAAATTAGCGAAGCAAACAAACGTGGGCTGCTGGAACTGGTGGACGCGTTCGAATACCTGGCGTAGAGCGAAGCTTTGGTCAGTGCAACCTCTGTCTGAACGAAAGCCACCTTTGTTACAACGAGTTCGCAGGTTCCTCTCATTGGAAAAACGGGAAAGCAGGATTTCTGCGAAGCTTTTGACAGCCACATCGATTAGGCTATTCCGGGGATAATTGCTGCACACAGTTCGGTCACCTTCCTTCGGTAATGACAATACTACTGAGGTACTCCACGAGGAAGGACAGATTTCGGTCTGCCATATCGAGCAGACGAGCTCATGCCAATGGTCAAGGAGGACTGGTGGACAAGACTTGTAGTTTTCGGCTGGAATCCCGTCCGCTGCAGGAGCTTTCTTCGGCTTCAGGCGATGAACGATATCTGCAACTTATGTGGGAGATGACGGTGAGCAATCCACGTCATATCTTGAGTGGGTTAATGCTGAAATGTATACGGTGGTGTGCAGTGCGCGGTTTAGAAGGTTGCTAAAATAATCTACGCATCTGGAAAGTTTTCCTTCCGTATCAGGGATAATTTGGCCATCCGAATTGCGCAATATCGTCTGTTGTGAGTAGCGTTTGCTGGAAGCTAAACAGATGAAACGAAAAAGATGACTCAGATTGCCAGAATTTGATGCAGCTTCAATGTTGCCTGCGATAACAGAACAGTAGCGCTTGCGATCATTCCGTGCTGATCTGGTTTCCTCACATCTCAAGTGACGGTAGTCTGCGGAATTTGTGAGACGTGCTTCTCTCGCCTTAACGAACAAGCGGATAGTATCTCCAGTGATCTAGTCCTTTACAAGCTTAGAGGTAGAGCCAAGGGTAGATGAAGCGGCCCTTTGAATTGACGACTTTGGGGTAGACCAACCATTGTCGACAGCTTCATCTTCTGCAAGTACGGGGCATGGTGCACTGTCAGAAATTTCTGCTTCTATTACCGCCTCAATGGACCGGCAGCAATCAACATTTTGCAGTGCGTCAGTGTTGATACGCTTTGGTGGAAGGATCTTCCGGCGCGTTGCTAAATGGTGTCTGAAGTTGGCGCGCAGGAGTATGTGGTCCGAACCACCTTTATTGTCCGTTTAAATCCCTCTGTACGCTCAACTGTCATCAATGAAGACATCCACCGAGATCGGATTAAGTTGTAACCTGTCCCGGCTAACTCTACAACCACCATTGGAGTACCACGTCAGATGATGCCTTCTGAAATGCTGAAAGCGAGTATTGATTATGCACAACCGGTTAAGCTCAGGGAAGCTGAGCAAGCGTTCTCCATTATTAAAACGCTCTCTATGAGCGTATCTCCCGAGTGTGTGACGGGTCTGATCGTTCTTCGGCCCGATTTATGCATTCCAGCCCCTAGCGATAATGTGGATATCGCGTTTTGGTACGTGGTTCACCACTGTCTGTAGAGTATGGTAAAATTCGGCTTTGTTCCCTTCCGCTGAGAGTAGGGTTGGTGCGTAGACAGAGATTATAATCAGATTCATTGGGTGACCTTTGAGGCGAACAACTGCTATTCTAGGTGATACTTGTTTCTATGAAAGCAGAGCGTTGTGTACCTGGCAACTGAGAGCCATGGCCACCCCTTGATTGCCAGAATTATCTTCCGGCCCACTGTGGTAAAGCCAATATGAGGTGTCTACACTAGGGATTTTGATTTGTCGCTCCCTATCTGGTGAGTCCAAATCAGCACGAAACTGGTCAGTCATGGAGTGCAGTATTGGACGATAGCAGCTACGAAGATCTCCACTTCATGACTCAACACTGAAAGCATGGCCAAGTTCATTTACATCATCAGCGATGTAGAGCTGCAAATAATGGAAGCCTTGAACCTTAGTGACCGTGATTGAGAACCAGATCTTTCGTAAACAGTCAAGATATTTAGTGGTTACTGTGAAGGTCGCTCAAACAATTCTCCCCGTTGTTGCCGATAGAAAACAATTGGTTGCCTCAGACTGGTGTTCTTGATCAGCTAGGGTTGGTTCTTATATGGGGACTCAAGGTCCCTACAAGAACGCAAACTAACATCACGGAAGACAATGAGACTCGTGTTTAGACCAGTGCAGCCATCCAACTCGTGAGACATTCACTTTTCTTTCACGCTTTGTACCTAAGAAACATTCATATTTCCGGCCAATCTCCGCATTCATAACACATTCAGCCTTTTCTACCTAAGAAACACTTTCCAGTTCAGCCTTCGCATCGACCAACATTCATTTTTTGACATGTTCCGTGGGCATTTTCACATAGTGCCAATTCACCTGCTTATGCCTTGCTTCCAGGATTTGCTTACGTAAACCATTCTATGTGAAAAATTCACACATTTCACTATCGCGTCATATAAACAAAGCTGGACTGCGCTGTAATCGCCTTGAGCCTGACCGGTAAAAGTGCCTATTGCGAAAGGCCTGTATTTTGTCTTATTTCTCTCTGGGGTTCGGGTAGTCGCGTGTGAAATTGAATTCGGTCTAAGAGCCGTTTAACTTGCGTGTAGTCACTGTGTTGTGCCTGAGTCTCGCGGGTCGCACGAACTCCGAATTTTCTCGATTACTTTGTCGTGCGTGAATATATTGCTAAGTCACGTCCGTTCGTCCGACTAGGAGAGTTGATACCATATCGTCATAGCATGGCGTAACCAAGCTGGAGTCATAACAGTTCACTTAACAGTGAAAGTAAGTGAGAGACGCAAGAGCCTTCAACAAATAACATGAACGATTATGATAGGTGGCGGTGCTTTTCTTCAACACGGCCGATTGAAAAGCAATCGATGTTGCTATAACCCGATTTAAGATCCATCGTCAACCGATTGCTCGAGAGACACTCATCGGGTTCAAGTGCAGTGCTACACTAAGTTGTCTTAATAGATGAAACAGCTGGTACTTACACAAAATGGAGATGCTGTCGTGAAAACCGCCAAGATAGCAAGGAATGAGTCAGATGGATATCGGGTGTTGCGCGCCCAAAACGTCTGCACTCCTTGACCTGTCTTGAACTTATTTGCTCTCACGAGTTGGAGATAACAGGCATCGAACCCTGGGCCATTGAGTTGTTCGCGGAAACTTCTACCTCTAAGCCACGGAGTCACGGAGAGAGACGAGTGCAACTAAGGAGACAACGTGGTATACAGGCTCTGCACCGTGAGACGCAACTGCATAAGCAGCACGAACCGACTGTCACCGCAACCCAAGGTCTAAATCTCGTCCGCGGTGGAAGACATTACGGAACCTACAACACTGAAACTATTAGGAAAGTCGAAAAAAGTGGGGATATGATGGTGGCGAATGAACTTTAGTGATCCCAACTTGGTCTCGCTTAAGAGGCCCCAAGCTGACCTCACTGTGCGCAATTACCCCTGACAAAGCCATTCAATAAAATATCGTTTCTAATTGGAGTATAGTGTAAACTGGCCCTTGGGTTTCGAGCGAAGTCCTGGCCTTGTTTTGATGCTTGGAGTGCTAGTCGACAAACCATCTCTAAAGTACTCGTTCTTACTACTTGGCTATGGCCCACTGACCTTTGCTGATCAGTCGTAAAATAAGCATTGCTTGCACGTTTACGCTTCACAAGTGTCTGAACACCAATGCTTCAAAGTCCTCTTAATTTGTAGGTTGACTTTGATTCAGTCAGTCACAATGGTTTGTAGCTTTGCCTATCGCTGTCTGCTCGTATGGCCTATATAGGTTCTGTAAGAAGTTGCCCCATCAGTTCATGGCGTAGATTTGAGTCCATCTCTGTAGTTTTTTGTCTTTGTGATCGACAAGGCTTTGATTGTCTTCTGTCCGCTTCTACTGTTCTTGTGCTTCTGTCAGATGATCAACTGTCACTTTTGCATAACACTTGCACCATGGCCCTTTTTATAGAATCCTGCTGATATGCGAACACTACCGAATGAGCTGCCGCGTAATACTGCATACTTCAGATTACGCTGTACACCTTCCATTTGCAGTTGAAAATGGAAATAATCTTAATCACTTTCCATTGTCATCAGACACGTGTTCGCAATGCTCCACTTACGTATCCTGGTGGCTCTATCACCACAGCTGAGGAGGCTACTCCAGTCATTGGGGTTGCTTATGTGGCTTCTCAGAGTCTTCGCCACTTGTGGACAAATTTCCATATAGTTGTATAGGTTGATGGGAGGAAGGTTTCACAACGTTGCATTGCGGCCATTTCGCACTGAGGACATCGGACGATTACTTGTCCACCCATGCCTAATTGGAGAGTGAAGTGAGTGAGGCTGCTGCCTCATTATAGTGTTTGTTGCATTTGAAGCACTTGCCTCGTCTAAACTATCTCCTACGTTTATCTGCAAGTTGGTTATCGGCACTTGCTATTTGCCAATGCGACGCTTAGTTGTGTGGAATTCTGACGTGGCCTGTCGCTCAGGTGATAAAAGGGTCTGATATAAGAATGCTAAGTTGGGTTATTGTTTGCTATTCTCTTGATTGGAGCTTACATATCAGATTGTTTGTGGGATGTGGCGCGTTCGCAAAGTCAATATCGATCACATTCCCTCTATTACTAACGTGGCTATTTCATCGAACAATTCCTTCCTCCTTGCTTATAATCATTGTTACTGCCATCGCTTTTGTTCTTTTGGTGACGCGATTCAAAGCAATTGGATCTACCGCACTTCGATGCATGCATCACAGTTGAACGACCTAACTGAACTGAACCTTTTCTTATATTGTAGATGTCCCTGCCACAGGTGCTTACTTTTTGAGTTACGAGTGGATCAAGGGTGCGCTGCGCGATCCCGGCAGTTCGTAAGTTGATCAATTTTGCTACGATTCTAATCGCTTTACTACGAAATTCTTGTGTTGTTACCTCTGAATAATGTTTTTGTGGTTCTGTTTGTAGCAACTAAAGGATGTTTTGTTTACTGATCACTTTTTCATGTTGTTCCCTTTTGGAGTATTTTGTTCTGTTGGTTCTACCACGCCATAGTTGCTCAGTTGCTTATTTCTGTTACGACGCCGATCACGCGATAAAATCTGTTCCCCCTTGAATCTTTATGCATAACCAGTCGACTATTCATTTTTTTGAACTTTATCCTCATCTCGTTTTGTTTATGCCCTGGTCTCCCCAACCTGTGCAGTGGCTTTGAGCTGCATCTGAACAATGCAGCTTCTTCCAATCTTGCGAAGTTCCTCTCACGAAACAGCAACTTCCTCCACCTAGGCATGGGTGGCTGACCGTGAATTGTTTTTATCACTTACGTACGACTTACGACTCAGATGATAAGGTTGGCTTCCGAACTTGTAACTTCTAATGTTAAACTACTGATCCCGTTTTGACATTACAAGTCAGCGAGTGGTTTGAATCTAAGCCTCGTAAGGAAATAATCGTGCCTTTCAGTCTCGTGGGATTCGCCAGAGATGTGCGTTACTGTTTCCTCCTCAATAAAATGAATTAGTGGACTTGTGTTTCCTATTGCTGACATATTCTGACAAGGCCTGAAGTACTGTACGAGACCTATTTGAGCACCTTTGCCCTAGTATTACGTTCGTTTTAAAGCTCTTTATTTTTGTGAATGTATGTGTCTCGCGGTGTTTACTTGCTCAGCTAAAGTTGGCCGATTGATGTGAGCGGCCCCCAGAGGCATGTTTTGATGTAGTTTAAACATGTCATCAATGATTTTCTTTTTTGATAAGTCTTTTTAGGTACCCTAGCTGTGTGTGTGCACGTACCGCGGTGCTCATTCTCTCAAAAATTATGGACCGCTCATTTCCGAGGTCACTTGGCTGAGTCCGCTGCTGAGAATTGTTGTGGTTCATCTATCACTGGTCGTGGAGCTAGGCTGTCTGAGTGTCAATCGCCATTGTCCGCAGTGTACGATACAGAGGCATTAGGACTCGATTCTTCGCCATGGCAAATACTTCTTGCTTGATATATTTTCTGCACATCTGATCGCTTTAGTTTAAGGCTGAGAGGACACCACCCACCATTCGGTTTCATCATGCCCTTTACTATGTGAACTAAAGTAGTATCAGAATTCTCAGGCCTTGGGATGGAGAGGCAACCATGTTAAGAACACCCTCAGCCAAATTGCGTTAACTCGTGATGAATCAGTGAACACGTCGATTGTCGAAGGAGAAAAATGGCTGTCTTTTCTTCAAGCTTCGGGCACAGCACTTTAAAGCCTCGCCTATGATGTCGTGGTTGTTTTTATCTACTTCATTTTTTTTATACGCCCACATCACAACTGTCCTAGATGGCACTCCTTTTGAACTGACATTGCTTCGACGAAGTACGGGTATTGACCTTATTTGTATCCTCCTTTGTTTGTGCTATCTGATGGACGGTCACTGATTGTTGGCCTATAACCATAGCAATTTAGTTGAGATTTTCTAATCATTAATCGAAGCTGTATCATTAGCACTTATTTGCACTTGATGTTCCTTATAGATGCTGGATTTTTATCTGAGCCTTAGCGTTTACTTCTTCCGAATTGAGGTACTCAGGAGGCTCGAGTGGTAGCCATTCGTCGCGTGAGTTTGGTATGCAGTCCGTACGTCGCTTTTGCAGACTCTTCATTGTCCGGTTGCTAGATTGTCATTTCGCAGTCGTTCTCTTGGTCTCTACACCGATTTGATGTTACGACGCATGCCGATCGAGTTCTGCATTTGACACTACCTATCTCTGAACGACGTGAAAGAACTTCATTCGCAACACTTGTATCAGCACAATGTGTGCTACTACACACTCCTGTGAGCTCATCATGGCACTGCGTGCTCTTCTTTGAGATAAACTTTCTGATCTAAATGGTCACAATTGAACTTGTACTGACTACTTACTTTCTGTTGTGCAGTGATCATTAGATGGTCTTGGATGGTATGTCACTCTTGAATTTGAACCTTGATCTTAATTGATAGCGTGCAACATTTTTGCACAAGGGGCTTCATAATTGTCATATACCATGCACATCCATGGCAATTGTTGTTGCTGCAGGATTGGACTGTTCCACCAGTTGGCCCTCAACATCATCATAAATTCAGCCGAACCAATTGATCGGTTTACGTGCCTATAAAAATTGCGTCACCTTCCGGTGGTCGTTTCACTTATGAATGTCCCCAATCTGGCTTTTTACGGCAGTTTGTAGCTTCATCAAGCTAATGAAATCGCATGGGCAATCGCATCGTTGCTGTTAGTTGATATGACATCTTCCTACTTTCTCTTTGTTTCTCGCAATCCATACTGCTTAGCGTCTTCATCAACATCCGTGATCACCGGCACTATTTGCCGAAAGGCTTTTGTTGTAGTGACACTACGAGTCGCACGCTTACTGACTCGGTCGTTTCTGATATGCGGATCGGGTCATCTTTGCGCGCAATCGGCGTTCGGCAGCGCGCCACCAATTCAAGCTCCTTGGCGGCACGATTGTGATGTATTATTTTGTGCACAGTACAACCTCTCCGCACCTGACATACTATTGTCTGATGGTAGCCGGTTACGCCATAATCCGTGCGCACCTGCTGACTGGTGGGGTTTGAAAGCATCGTGGATTATCTTGGCTGTGAAATGATTAACCATTATTGAACTACAATCAAACACGCCTGTCACCTCTACATTCTACTCCCATCCTGATACGTGCTTCAACCTGTTCTATGTTAGCTATTTAAATGTGTTGTACTTAGCCTGACGATGAATCACCGAAAGCGAGCTTATTTGCTATACTGACTTCATGAACTACAGATTCACTTGACTGAGATTTGGTGTGGAGTTCCGGTCACTGTCGTCCGTTTTTGTAGCTGTACTATGTTTTGCGTACACCTCTCCTGAAATAGCATGCGCTCTTCGATCCTCTGACATTACTGATTATCTCAGCTTCCACCCTTCACTTAAACGTTTCCCGATGAAATCCTTCAATCAAATCGACATCTTTCTTTTACCGACGCTTATGTTCCACTTATGGTGCTATGGTGTACTTTAGTAATTTGATGTGCGTTTAGACCTCTGTTACTGTCGTATGTATCTGTAATTTACTTTGCGCATCCGGTTTGTTGAACTCGACATAACTGTTGTTCGATACTTGAACTCAAGGAGGCGCCTGACCTACAGGCGAATGTCTCGTATAGAATAATCCTTTTTAATGGACGATAATCAATTCTTCCCTTTTGTTTCTTCATGCTCCGACTTTAGTTAATAAATCAATTTAATTTCGGTCTTATCCACTCAGAGAAGCATCTTTTTAACTTGCCCTTTCGCAGTTGTTTTTGATTCCCTTTAACAATTTTGTGCAAGTTGTGCAGGTTTCGCTCACGTTCGTTTCATTCTTTCATCTACCTCGGATTAGGACTCCGTTTTGCACATCTTTCCGTTCCTCACAGGTCTGATAATCTGAGTGTTGGAAAAACCCTGTTTGCTGGTGGTATGGCTGGTGTCTTCAACTGGCTTGTTGCTATTCCACCTGATGTCTTGAAGTCTCGCTACCAAAGTGGTATGTCCTGTAAATGTTACCTACTTCCTCATCATCTTTCTTCAACGTACGTCTTTGAGTGCCTTTCAGATTGCTTGATAAAGCTCCCATATAAGTGCCCTCCAGATATTCGGTCTCTTCTGTTCCTCATTTCTTACCGTCTACACTTTCAAATCGTTCTACAGCACCTGATCATCCTCCGATTTGCTTCAGTTTTTCACTGTTTTCGCGACGCTATCAACTCATCCTTCGTAACTGTTTACCGATCTGTATTTGTTTTTTCTAAAAACTTGACGCGCAATTGTGACCGAATTTGTCGTCCACCGTAGTTGTGTGCATTATCGATTTGCACTTCAAACCCTGGATTCTTAATTCTCCGTCGCTGCAGATTATGCCGTAACCTCGACTAGTAAAGACTGTCATTGTATTTTGACACCATGTCTCTCAATCGCATTAGTTGCCGATTGACATTTTGCTGCATCACGCACTCGTCTACGGAATGCATCTTAGAACCAGACCATAGCAGTAGTGTTTGGATTTCTGCCCCGGTTATGCCGATAAATGTAATTACGATTTCACCTCATTGACGATCGCGTTGCATTCGCGTCCATTGTTATGTGTTTCGTAGTCACTCAATCTTTACATCATTCACTTACATACCTTTCGTATGACTCTCTTGTCGCTTTGGGCTAGGGTTTCACTCCTTGTTGGTCCACCTGAGTTCAAGAATCTTGAACTGAACTCCAATTCTCAATATACTTTAATGCGTTAGCTAGAAGTGATAACGGCTATCGTGCTGCAATACATAGGAAAAGGAAAGAACATGCAACAGAGGCAAGCCAGCTGAGCCATCAATAACGGGTGGGCATTGTTCCGGAGATCTAGCAGCCGGCGTAGGAAATGAGCTCATTGTTGGAGAGGGAGGTTAAGCGGGACGGGGGGGGGGACAAAGATTCTCCCCTGACAATCTTCTCTCATCTAAACGAAGGGCAGCAGTGCGTCTTTCCTCGATCGCCCGATGTTATCCACCCACTTCTTAGCGAGCGCCTACGAACTTTGTCTTTTGGCTTTGCTGTTCGGTATTAAACATGGATAAAAATTCCTATCCGTGTTTTTCCCCATCTGATAATTCCTGTTATTTCTTCATTGCTATTTTACTGTTGTTTAGCACTCTCAGTGGTCAACTGAATGACAAGTCTTTGCGTTCCCACCCATTCTAAGTTCCATTCGATCTGTACGTTTCCACCTTTGTTCCTGACTTCAATACCACAGCCCCTGAGGGAAGATATCCCAATGGAATCCGTTCTGTCTTCTCAGAGTTGATGGCCAAGGAGGGTGTGTTGGCTCTGTATCGTGGAGTAACACCAGTACTTCTACGTGCATTCCCAGCTAATGCGGTATGTTCCCGCCGCACTCCGGTGCGCCTCGTTTTCCCTTTCCCTTATAAGCTTGACGCTATTTGATGTGAAACAATGCCAGACATGGTTTTGAAATTTTGGGGTCGAGTCTGCGGCCACACCAAAAGGAAGAGTAACAAGCTGACGCTGTGCGCGCGCGTACACTCATCTGGACGCTTGCTGCCATGTCGATTGAACAATTTGACTTCAGTAAGAACGCGTCGGCTTTCCTTCAGGCGCGCATTGGTGCGGCACGGAATGTGCCGGTGGTTTTAAACGAGAGCACATTTTGGGTATAGCGGGGAATTCTACCCCGCGAACTTTGGACTGCGCGCGATAGATCAGAGAACGACGAACTTCAAACTTAAAATTATCCTACCCTACGGGCCTGATATGACCCGCCAACAAGCACTGCATATCCATTGTAAGTATAAGGTTTGGAGCAATTTTCCTCCTTCAACAATGCTTCCGGAACTACCTACTTTCCAATGACAAATGTTTCCGAGTAGCTACCAAGTCTATAACAACGTGTGTCACGACGTGCACACATGATTGTTTCTAAGACTGGCTGCAACGGTGGTCCATAGCAGGATTAGTGTGCGCGGTTGCCATTTATCAATGATTGCAAACATGCTGTAGGAATACCCGTGTGTGTGAGAACAGTTTTTGCCTGTTCCAAGTATTCGCCTGAATTACCAGAGTAAAATGCGTGCGCTGCAACTAATTATCGGCTTTTGCGTTTTTCCTTGCATTTAAAAATACGGTAGTCTTTGTAGCCCCTTTGGGCGTTTCTTTGTTAATGCCGATTCCAAGAGGATAGCATCCCAGTCCATGGAAGTAATAGAGAGGTTCCATCTGCATTTATTATGCTTTTAATTATGCCATTTGGAGAACCACTTGTCAAAGCGTCTCCACACATATGGGCGACCATACGGGAGTAAAGCCTAATTAGCCTATAAATACATAGGTTCCGCATCCTTCCTGTAACCTTTAAATAACGCCATACCTGTTGACACTGAATCGATAACTGATTAACAAAGCCGCCCATGGCTGTGAAGACAACTGAACACTTACTAATGCCGTGTCACTGCCACAAATGGAATACTCCTAATTGGAACAATGTTTGTGTTTAGTCATCAACTGTGATAGTAGTAAACACCCATAGAACATTCGTTATTCATCTACAAGTTGGTCTAGCTACTTCATTGTCTCCCATGCTCGTCGCAGTAACAATCGCACAAAATTATCCAACCGCCTAGCAGCTATTGCTTATTCAGCTTAGGGTGTTCAGTGTCCTAGGCACGGCGCATGCCTGACCAACCGCAAACGCAGGCCTGCCTGACTCCCTCAGACCTAAGGGACTGCGGGATACATTAGAAGAATGCCTGTATACACCACCATCGCAACCATGGTTAGGCAGCTGAAATAAGCCACCACCACTTAGCGGCTGGCGATCAATAAGTGTAGGCCGCTTCATGTGGTGGTTTACATGTCCGTCCAAACTGGTTACGGCGTTAGCTTCGGATCATGTGGTAGCTAGGATCTCCTCTTTAGACAGGCATCACAAGTCGCCAATTGGACGGTTTCAGTTTGGAGAGGAATCATCGAGGTTTCCTTCAGATACGCATCAGGATAGCACAGAACGTGATGCTCGACCACTTTCATTGGACTGTCACTTATGCTTGGGCCTTTTAACCGGTGTCCCATTGGCTAACGTCCCATGACCAATGAGAGTGTCAACGACGCCAAAACAGCGTTTTTGGCTCGCGAAATTGGATACACAGCACGGGGTTTAGAAAGCCTACCTCGCTAAAAGCCCTTTTGTCGCTTTCTTTACAAGCACGCCATAACATTTTGGCATCCCAGACCCCGATCATTCGCAGTCATACTCCTGTGACTGTCGTGATATCCGGGCTCCCCGAGCCTGCTGGTAGGCCATCCTAACAGTGTCATTTAACAACCTCCGTCTTCTGATGTTCTTATTTGGAAGTATGAAGAGGATTTCATGTATAAACTTAGGTTATACAATTTCCCGCTTCCTTTCGAAGATGTAAATTATTGCGAGCGATTAATTGCAACTAAATGGACGTATACCAGTTATCATGCACATATCTTTGCTAACTCACCATGTCACACTCCATTTTATGGGTACATTCATTATTTAATCTTTCTTCCTTACGGCCATCCTACGGGACATGTCAAGCGTTCTCTGTTTGGCCCACTGTGATTATGGACTGCGTGTTCACAGGCCGTTAGATAGGGAATTGAGTGTTATCGACCCCGCGGAATTATGGGCATTGCACGTACAACTATCGTAGGAAGGAACTGAGGTGTTGCTCGCCTAAATGCTGTGTCAGTCAAGTACCTTTGCTGGAGAAGAGGCGGTGATATAGCGAGGCAAAGCTGCCAAGTAACGATGGAGTGACTCGCATGTGCGAACATACCACACAACTGGGTACGGGATACGAATTCAGTTGATGTGCACCGACTTGCGTGCCAGTTGCTCTTACTTTGGGCGTGTACCAATCCGACCATGCAAGTGTGTACAGATCAGCCGCTGCAAACTGCCGACAACCCGATCGCAGTATCTCATTCGATTCAGGGACAATCAAGTCGGTGTAGTGCACCCACTATGACGGTAAGCGATGCCTGCTGTAACAAAGCAGGTCATACTCACCCTGTAAGGAAATAGCCACAGTCGCATTTCGGCACTAGCCATCTCCACAGACCGCCGCTCAAGGCGGCTCTCTATAACCCTAGGGGACCACCTTCCAACCTGTATTTCGGTTGCACAGGCCCCCTTTTGTCTATTTTACTCGCAAGCCCGTCACACCGCCGCCGGTCATTCGCAGCCATGCCCATGTGACTGCCTCACTATCCGGACACAGTACCGTCGTATGCCCTAGCTTTGGTAGGTCGTCCAAGATCTTGGGCTGCGCCAGGGCCAAAGTAGCTATAAGATCGCTAATGGGGTGTCGCACTACCGTGTTCACAGCCTCCCCACCCCCAACTGGTAGCTTTCGCAACGCATGCTTTTACGTACATGGCAGTGCATTCACGCCCCTGAACCTCAACCCAGTCGCACCAAGTGAGTTTGGACAACCATGTCCCCCTAAGCTGCGTGGAGCCAGCTTCAGATTGGGCACCGTTGCTGAATAGAGGCCAGAACGCCCACGGGTCTACATTACACACCACTAACCCAAGAGTTGTTGCATCTAACGTCACTGGCTACTTTGGGCTGGCTCAATTTCAAGGTCCCTGCTCGCGCTTGGTGCGTCGAAATGATACTGGGTACTATACAAATCCGTTAAGGACTATGTTCAAATCAGATCCTTAGGGAGCTATCCAATTGCACTATGGATGCAACCAATCGGGAAAAGGTGTAGTTTTTGAGACTGAACGTGACATGATCCCAATGTTACGTCCTTGTTTTCGTTAAATGATAACTCAGTTCGCAAGAAGAATTAGCACTGATGATCGAGTTCTGTGATTTATGCTACCCTATGGTTGACTGTTTCGTAAGAATTTACTAGATCAAATTTCTGCCATCTGCCTTGCATTTATGGCCCATAAAGCGGCACGCTGGCAACTAGTTCTGCCTGTTAATATGCGTTACTAGGCTGTGTAGTCATCCGCTCGAGGCTTTTCATGTTCATCACTAATTTACTTTGTATAGTTCCGTTGTGGAATCGATAGAGCCGTAGCTTGGTCTTGGTTGATTTTCATAAATCAGAGGACTATCCTGCCCGAACTGGACATTATTACTAGGGGATGCTGCTAATTTGCCGGCTTTGACTAAATAGAATAGATGGAGTTATATACTTCCACACTCTCTCAACATATTCCCTGCCAAGTATGATGCATTTTCCCCACCGTAGTTTCGCTTTTTCTGGACCGTTGAATTCAGAGCCTTTTGGTTGTGTCTCGAATCAGCTGTCAGCAGTATGTCGGACGTCAAAAATAATCCTGAGCAATAGACTGTTTATGCTAATTTTCAAGTTCGGATGAGGATAACTATCTGGTGAGTTGTGGAGACGATGGGTCAACTGGAAACCCAGAATGTTCAGATTCGCATCCACGATGGTGCATTGTCCTGCAACACAAAAGTCTCTTTCGTAGACTTTTCACTTCACTTCAATTGGTCCAGGAGCTTCGAATAATATTGTCCGGTCCAGAAAACGGACACCATGATGTTTTGGCCGATTTCTGGTACTGACCTCTTTTGTCAGCTTGCGCATCGTCTGCGACGCCATTCCTTTGACTTTTCCTTTGTTTCAGGATCGCAGATGTGAAACCATGTTTCATCCTCAGTCACTTACCTATCGAAAAAGTAATGTACATCTCCAAAACGAGTCGAAATAGCTTTGGATGTTCCAACTCGTCCCTTATGATTTCTGTTGGAACTTGCCGGTGTTTACTTTTCTTATCAAAGCAGAAGAAGACATAGATTGCGATATGTACACAATTCGATTATTCCCATCAGCCACGTACACAATACAAGCAGATACATGGTTGGCGGCATCCGGTTTCGGATTTGCCTGTCACTGTGGCAAGCCACAGGACGCCTGCGCCTACAGAGGGACCATGGATGGCTTGCGCTGCACCACCCACAGCTCCAACCACATACCCCATATCCAGTGTAAACCCGAAGGAATAAGACCGGGAGGCATGCGGATGGGAGCCACGTTTCATCAACGGAGCCGGCCCACACTCCTTCATAGGCAAACACAAGCACGCTGTATTTGGGGAATCAACCGCACACAAGGCGGTGGCTGAACCGTAGTCCGCTCCACACTGACTGCATGGAACCACTCTTTGATCCTAACACGACCACAAGGACCGTGCACCCCGTCCCCTCCAGCAACGACCAACTGTCTCCTGGAGCCAGTATGGACGATGTAGTGGGTAATAGACAGGTAGGCACCGTGTCAACATACACATCAAGCGCATCCACACTAGGGATATGAAACAACAGCCATTCACTTTAAACGACAAGCTGA